CCACGCCAAAATTCTGCGCTGGATTTGTACCCATCATTTGATAATGACTTCCTAATTCAAAAACTAACGGCTATGATCTCCCTCGCCGGGTAACCCAACTGCAACTTATCCGATGGTCTATATATCGCTACAGGGGCAACTATACACGTGTATATATGGGAATAACACTTTTAAATAATTAATCTATTTAATAAAAGTTATATCATTTTTCCCGATGATACTTTATACAAAAATTCCATCAATACTCTCTTTATTTTTTATTCATAGTCGTTTTATCAAAATTTATTATTATTTTTTTATTATTATTTTATTAAAATTAATGACTTATTAACTTTTTTTTCATTTTTATCCTTGATAATTAATATATGTTTATTGAATAATGTGTCTATTTATTTCTAATGTCTATTTATTTTTTTTTCAACCACCTAAATAAAGTTAATGTTGTATTTAAAAGGACAATATGTTTCCAACAAAATACTATAAAAAAATAGAGAGTAAAATAAGAAAGTAAGCAATAAATATTTTTAAAAACTAAAATATTAATCATTTTCATGTAAAACCTTAAACGACTATGAATAAAAAATGGAAGGAATAATTTTTAGTACAGACAAACTTAAAGCGTGCATTTTATTGTGTCCGAAGTTAAGTTCTACTTAACATTATTTTTGCCAAATTTAATTAATGGTCCTCATAAAGAATGTTTTCAAGAATTCATCACAAAATATATATATTAAGTTTAATTAAAAATTTAGATGAAAGTAATTCAAAATATGTTTTTAAAAATATTTTATACTGATTAACATTTTCTTCAAGGAGTGGAATCATGTTTTGCAGGCGTGCAACAAGTTACCGGCACAGAACTCGTGTATGACATAAATGTGTAGAAGCAAAGTAAACCTAACAAGTTAGTAGTTACCCAGCAACTTCATTCTTTTACTGTGGTCATAAATATAGTTAATTCAGTAATTAATTAATTACTATAAACAAGGTGATGTATGTTGAGAAAGCATGTTGAGAGTTGAGATTGAGAAAGGAAGAGAGAGTGTCTATCTGAGTGAAAGCAATAGAGGATTTGATGTCATTTAGCCTCATACATACAGATTGACAAAAGATAATGACTCTCCAAAACACGTTAGCATAATATAATTCATGACAAATATAGAAATTTTCATTCCCTGGCTTCCCATGCAGTAAAGGAAACAAAAATTGACAACCTAGCTGGCTAGTGCTAGCTAGCTCCATTATATCTGATGAATTTCTCCCCACACGTGAGAGCGAGAGGGGCATGGAAGGCCGGCATGAAACAAAAATGTTATGATACATTACAAATAGAAATTATAATTAATAAATAGTATTTAATTAAAAGACGAAGAAGACGATGAAGCCTCGTCCTCCCTGACTTGTTGCAACAAGAGAGAAGAAGTAGAAGTGGCAGGTGTGTGATTATCAACCTCAGCTTCCAAACAAGAGGAAGAGAGCGAGGAGCTATAAAGCGATAAAGGGGAAGAAGGAGAGTTAGAAGAAAAGGAGGAGGAAGAAGAGAACAACAAATCAACGAAAGCGCCAACGATATAAGCATGGTTGGTTTTGCCATTGACTTTCAAATACCAACACAAAAGCTCTTGGAGGCCCTCCCAGTCCTTCACGCACTGCGCCTCCAGCATCTCCTCCATGGACTTGCGGAAATCGACGTATGGGTCTTGAGAGTCAACGGACAAGACAACGCTGTCTTTGAAGGGCAACGTTGTTGTTGTTGTTATTGCTGCTGTCTTGGCCTCTAATATGGAACTTGTCTGGTCGGGCTCGAAGAACAAACGGTGAGAACGCAAGCCGCGAATGAGTGTTTCGGGGGAATCAGGTCTTCTAGAATCTTCCTCGGAGGCGGTGGAGAAACTTCCGGAGTCGGGGGTTACGGTGAAGAAGGAGTCGGAGGAGTCTAAGTATGCGGCGTTGATGGTTTTGAAAGCGGCGTCGTTTTGGGCTCTGAAGGAGAGCGTTCGGGGTTGGTGACAGGAGGGCCAGGGCCAGGGAGAGGAAGAAGGCTTGTTGGGGTTGAGGAGGGAAGGGAGCTTCATTTTCTTCCCCATGATGCCAAATGAAATTCAGATTCAAATCAAATGAATTTGGGAGTTAAGTTCCTAAATTGAGGGCATTAATGGCAAGTCAGATGTGGCTCCTGCCTGTGGGGGGAAGATTTTAAAGGAGTGGTGGGTCAATCTCTATTTCTCCTGCTGCTTCCTGGGCTCACCTTATTCAATTTTAACACCCTTCTCAAATTAACCAAATAACTCTATTTTACACTTATCTTGACTTCTTCTTCTTTTTACCTTTTTCCCATCTTTTACTTTAATTTTCTAATTTATATTCTTTTATAGAGATTTATGTTGAGAATGAGATACGTTATTTTTAATCCCATCAGAAATAATTTTATTATAAATCTTGTAGTTAATTTTGATGTTGTATAAAGTCATGTCTCATTCTAATATAATTTTTTGTTAAAAAAATTAGATTTAGATAAATTGTACTAATATTTTGTATAAACTTTTTAAATTTCATATGGTATTTCTCTCTTTTGTCTTGAATATATACCTGGGTGTTGATTTTAAAATATAATTAAATTTGAATTAATTTAACATGTTAATATCTCTGAAGAATCTTTATTTAATTGAAGTTTTCTTTTCAATATTTTTTTATATTAAGTTTCAATCAAAAGTACGATTTGTGTTGAAATTGATACAACTAAATAATACTAACTCACATTCTTAATTATAGATTATTGTTTTTTATATGAAAGACTGGAGAAAGTACAACTTTTAAATTCTAAGTAATTATTTGAAACTCATTATGCTTTATATATATATTATTCGAGAAATACTTTTATCAATAAAAAAATAACATACAACAATAATAAAAAATTGAACTTTTGTTTTTTATATCTACTAAAATTGCACCGCTAGATCAACCTAAAGTTAATTTAGAAAACACATTTGATTACATTACATTATAATGTGTATCTATATTACTTAAAAAATACAAAAAACATTATATGTACCCCAATAAAGAAAATTATGTGTTAAAAAGAAAGAAGAGTTGTGTGAAAATTTAAGAAATCGAAAGATTATAATATCTCATAAATAAACACTCAATTTTGTTATTAAAAAATGGTAGACATGATTCCTAAGTTTTTGAAAGATTTTCAAAACAAATAAATTGTCGTTGAACCAGTAAAAATACCCAAATGTCATATCATTAAGAGGAAAGAAAAACAAAAAAAAAACATTAATAACATAATTATTGTACCCTTGACAAAGAATAAGTTAAAAAAAATCTTAGATTTGTAATTGTTTATGAAACTGTAACGTAGTGAGAAGATTTTTGAGTTTAGTTGACTCTAGAGAGAGAAGAGTATATAAGGATTTTTCTGAGAAAGGAATTTCATAAGTTCATTCTCAAAGAAACTAGAGAGAAGTTTTAGAGAGAAGGACTCTAGGTCTGTGAGCTCCTTTCTCTCTCAAATATCTCTGGTTGATTCTTCTTCTTCTCTAGATCACTAACTTCTTCTGTCTTCTCTTGGAATTCAGACTAGGAAGCTTGATTTTGAAGGATTGAAGTTCGGGAGTCGAGCTCGGAGGAAAGTTTTCTTCTTCCCAAATTCTTGGCTGTTCGGAGCCAATCTTCATGTAAGGGAAGCTAGAATGTATATTGTTTGGTTGCATGGGAGTTTAGGAACTCCATTGATGTATGGAATTCGAGAATAAGTGGTTGAATTGGGTGATTTCCTCATTTTTGGGGTTTTTGGGAAAAATGGGATTTTTGTCAATTTTGATGCATTGATTGGTTACATGTTGAATCTGAACTCGTTTTTGAGTTATAGGGAGTCTATATGTTGCATTTAATGGATTGCATGTGGTTGAAGTTGCTAATTTTTAGGTTTTGAACGGATTTTCGAGGTTTTTGGAGGTTTTTGGTTGTTGTTATGATGAATATGGTAACTATTCTAATGGTTAGTACAATAGTTGCGTTGAAGTGTTGATACAATGTTGATATGTTGAATCATGTTGAAATGATTCTAAGATGTATATGATATGTGTTGTTTGTCTTTTGTGTCAGATGTGAAGATGATTATATAGTTGTTGTGTTGCATATTTAATTATTATAATTTATTTATTGTCTCTAGCTTACCCTTGCATGTTTCCATGTGGTTTGGATTACGATGATCATACGATGTATGAGAACAGGGCAAGGATAGGCTGGGAGATAGCTGCTAGAGGTCACAAGAGGTGCCTAGAGTTGAATTTTGTTTTGTAGACTACCTTATAGTAGCATATTTTGTTGTATATAGCTGATTGTTGTTGATTGTTTGATTAACAACTTGTGTTGTAATTATTTTTATTATACTATTTTAATATATATTCCAGTAGCGTGTAGTGTTACTCCATAGTGTGACGGTCATGACGGGTCATTACAGAAACCCTCGACAAAAATCATGTATTTATATTAAGAAAGAGTGCTATTACTGCTAAACTCTTTTACACTTTTCTTAAAGGAATTTTGCAATTCATTAAACATAATATAGAAGTACTCATATTCAATTTACATATCATTGTTTGAAATCTTTTAAAATAACTACTCATTTTACTGAAATTCGAATTTAATAATTTAAGGTTTACAATCATAAATTTATAACTATAATAGATAAAATAATTAATGATAACTAAAATAGAAAAATCAAATTATAAAAAACTCTATGAAACATAACAATAACCTTTTATTTTAACTAAAATACTCATGATCATAATATTTAAACATGACAAAATATTTATTGCATAATAGAATTAACATTTAGGAACTCAAATGTTACGAATAATGTTTCAGGAATCTATCAGATACCTTTACCATTTAAGATCAAGTTAAGTGTTTATTGATATATTTATATTCATTATTTTCTAAATGAATTTAGTCTAATTAAATTATTAGACTTGTATCACTAAATTTAATTGACAGTTATTTTATTTTTATTTTATTTTTATATCTTTAAAGTGTAGTTGATTATAAGTTAACTATTCTTAAAAAATTTGTATTGATTATTTTCAAATTAATAACTTATTTCTAACTCATCAGATATAGATGATGAAGTTAATATTAATTTTTATTAAGTTGATATAATTATCAAAAACATTAAAAGAAAATATTTCCTCATAATATCATATAGTATAACAATTTATTTATGACACCAAAGATTTTAATGCTCATACCTCGTATGATGAAAACCTGAAAACCTTAAATTTTGGATCAAATGTCCCTCGTGAAAGGGTCACCATTTCAGAATCAATAACTTACACGTAACGACATAAGGTCATCTTTATTCACGTCGAGGTTACTTAAAACGGAGTTTTTATAATTCTTTTATTATTATTTTTAATAGGGAATTATTTTATTTCACTTTATTTTTTATGGTTTGTTAAGATTTTTCGAAAAGCGTGTACAGACATTTATTTTATTTTAAAAAATACATTTTTTATGCAACATATAATTGTAGATATTTACAATTGTTTTTTTATTGAGATTATTTTTTCATCTTTTAATCATTTAAACAAACATAGCTAAATGATCAAAATACACTTAGTTAGCTAGTGGTTAAAATTAGAACGAAAACATTATTTAGTTTCTAATCGAAAAATACACTTTATGAAAATAGAATACGAAGAGTGCCAAACACCTAGTAGAGTGATGAAGAAATTTGAGCTTCCACCTTTATTATCTTTTCTTACTTGTATAATTCATTATTTTATGGATAATAACAAGTTATTCTTGTATATATCCTTAAAGACACTTTTAAGTAAAAATAAAAAATGAAATTCTTTATAGTAAGTTTTATATGGGAGAAAGATTCTCTCGTTTGAAAAAAAAAAATACTTTGATATTTTCAAATGTTGAAATCTTACTTTTGATTCCCTTAACCTGTACTTTATAATAAAACATAATTATACCATATTAACAAAATTAATTGAACGGGTATGATTTTATCACGTAAAAATCTCACTATTCATTTCAATTTTATATATGCATATAGTTTAAGTTAAATTTGGTGAATGAATTCGTCAACTTATCTATTTTTTATGAGTTAAATATGATAAATAAGTTTATCAATTGTCTAATTCATCTGGTCCATCCAATCAATTCAACGAATCTAACTTACCAACTTACTCTTTTTTGTTTTATTTTTTTAATAGGTAAATTTGTAATAAATTTATATTGGATCAATGTTTTATTTTATTTATTTTTTAGATTTTATTTTATTTTATATTAAATAAAAAAGTATTATTTTAATTACGCATATTTTACCTGTAGATTTTCATATATAATATTTTTTAATAAAAATATATATTATTTTGTCTCTTTGCATGAAAAAAAAAATTAATTCTTTATTTAATTTTATAAATAATAATGAAATTATAAATTAAAGTAATAATGTATATTAAAATATTTTAATCAATATTTATTTTTAAAATTTTGGATAAATTAAACGTGAGTTAACTTATAAATTTATCAATTCACTAAAATAGACTAATTCATTAATCTATTGCTAAATAAAGTAAGTTATATTTTTCAACCCATTTTATTTGGTAGACCAACTTATCTCATCCCATTTTTTTCTAGATTTTTTCGTCCCATTTTAAGTAAGTTGACCCACTTAATTACTCTCGGGTATATAGATAACAAAATTTTAACTAAATACAAAATTTAAACTTTTTGATTAATTTGATAAGTATAAATGTGATTTTCTTTTTTGCCTAATTTATTTAGAAGCATTTAAACTTGATATAAATAAAATATTTCTAATAACATGTTTAAATTAGGATTGGGTACAGATTGAATCAGGTGGGATTTTAGCCTTTTTTAAGTTTGATTTTATTAGTTTGAATTAGTTTAAATTGATCCATTTTTTTTTGTCTTTGATCCAAATCGACTTAATTTGATCTTATTTGATTTGGTTCATAGAATTTATCATTAAAATTAAAATTAAAAAATTATATTAGACAATTTATAAATATATTGTCATATTATCAACTAATAAAATATTTAATATTATTAGCTTTAAAAAATATTTTGTACTTTTGTGAATTTTGTCTAAAAACTAAAAATATAATAATTTATAAAAATAATTGAAGTTAAAAATATGTGAATGATTTTGAATAATTAGTTACAAAGCTCCAGAAGTTTGATAAAACAAATCTAAGAAATAGATAAAAAAGAATAAAAACTAAATAAAAAATATATGAGACCAAAAGAATATTTTTAGAATTTAAAAATAAAATAATCAACAAAATATTTACATTAAATAATATATTATCTTTATTAATAATAT